CATGAATCTAAGGATTATAGTGGATCACAAGGTGAACATGAGTTAACAGTGCGAGTTTTGCGAAGAAACCAAAATCATATTCTGAGATGTATGAGTAGAGGCATAGTCTGTGAGATGCATCAAGATTATCCTTCCACTGTATCTCAGCACAAGAAGGACGTGGACCTGTTGGAGCGGGTCCAGAGGAGGGCCACAAAAATGATCCAAGGGCTGGAGCACCTCTCCTATGAGGCCAGGCTGAGAGAGTTGGGGTTGTTCAGCCTGGAGAAGAGGAGGCTGCGAGGAGACCTTATTGTGGCCTTTCAGTACTTAAAGGGGGCCTATAGGAAGGATGGGGAGAATCTTTTTAGCAAGGCCTGTTGTGACAGAACAAGGAATAATAGATTTAAACTAAAGAAGAATAGATTTAGACTAGACAGAAGAAAGAAATTTTTTACAATGAGGGTGGTCAAGCACTGGAACAGGTTGCCCAGAGAGGTAGTGGAGGCCCCATCCCTGGAAGCATTCAAGGTCAGGTTGGATGGGGCTCTGAGCAACCTGATCTAGTTAAAGCTGTCCCTGCTCACTGCAGGGGGGTTGGTCTAGATGACCTCTAAAGGTCCCTTCCAACCCAAAGCATTCTATGATTCTATGATTCTACTCAGCACCAGTGAGGTCTTGATCTGAGTTGGGTCTGTAAAGAGCAATGAGAAGAGTCAAAGTCCATAAAATGTGGCTTGCCAGGAAAGACTGAAGATGATGTTTTAGTAAGAAGGGGAGATTGTTGTGGCATTTAAGTTAGATATTATGGGGAAAAGCAAAAAAAAAAAGAAGTGCTTCAAGTGAAACCCATTTCAATATCCTGGAAAGATGGTGGAGTTCCTGAGGCTGGAAATCTGTAAGATCAGGTCAGGCAAACATCTCTCAGGAGTGATGTGGATGTAGTTGATACTGCCTGGAGTTCAGGGGAATGGGCTAGATGATGCCATGTGGTCCCTTCAGGCTTTACAGCTCTCTGATGTCCAAGTGTCTTCCCAAAGTACAAGGCAACAGGAATATAAGCTCTAAGACTCCTCTTCATGTCTTTGTAGACCTGACTAATCCCATGTGGTTGAGTGTTCATGAGGGTTTGCTTTTACAGAGTTCCCAGTGGGTCTAGAGCCAGACATGTTTGGTTTGGGGGGACATAATGCCAAATTTACTCTGATCTGGAGGCTCCAGTGGGACATTGTCTGGAGCAGGCGAATGCCAGGGAGGGAGAGTATGGCACTTAGAGGAGGGGAGGTGGGAGAAGAGATCAAAAAGCAATTGGTGTGAGGGGGAAGGTCAGAACAGGTGCTAGGAAAACCCCTTTTCAGATACAGCCCATTTCAAGCATTGGTGAGGGCCAATGTGCAAGCCATATCCAAAGGTGGGAATGATCTAGCAGTTCATTCCTCTCTGAAACCTGGAGAAGGGAAGAGTGGTCTCAGCTGCAGCTGCTGTTTGCAGTCTCCTTGAAGCAACACTTGAGTTTATATAGTCTGCCTGGGAAAGCCCAAATCTTTCAACTTGAAGGTTTCCAAAACATGTAGCAGCTGGCCAGCCCCAGCCACTCGTTGCTGTTGGAGGTGGAGGTCAGAGTTGTTCCTGAACCCTCTTCCCGTTGGAGGAGCGGTGGCAAAGGCTCCTGTGGGAAAGGCTGCTGAGTCAACCACAGAGCGTGCGGCTACCACCGAGGCGGAGGAAAGCCTTCATGCTGTAAAAATAGCTGCACTAGGAGCCCTAATATACTTAAGTGCTTATTTTTCCATGTGTGATCTCATGCAAACCAAGCTGCTGGGCAGTATGACATAGCAGTTGGCCAAAACTAAAATGTAACTCAATCAAAATGTTTGTTCTCTGAAGTTAACCTTTGATGGGTGGAAGGGACAGGTACCCTGTTTTCTCATTTCCATTAAGTTATTGTTAGAAAAAAAAATCCAGGGGGGAGGGACAGGTGAAGATGGGATTGACACCTGGTATCCATTTTGTGATTATGGCCACAGGTTAAGGATAGGAGTTGTAGTGCTCTCACACAGGAAAGTTATGACTATAATATAGTGAGAAAATGTACATGGGATTTCTCTGGGTGCTTCTCCAGCTGATTTCATTGAACTGAGTTTTCGTGGGCATTTGATGCTGAAAAAAAGTTATATACTTGATAGCATTTGAAGTTGAAGCCCATGAAGGAGACTGAGTACCAACAGCCTTGGAACAAGGTGCTCTAATCCCTGTTGATAAGCCTCGGAAAAATGTCTTTAGAGGCCTTTAGAGGTTCATTTTCCTTCAGTGTTTGATGCTTGGCCTGTTAGGTGATTTTTTTGGGTTGGGGTTTTTTTTGGGTCAATTGTGGTAGATCTGTGTTGTGGAAGGCGGGCTGAAACCACGAAACCCCTTTGACAAAAGCCACTGAATGCCTGGAAATGCTGGTAGTTTGACCGCTGTCCTGCCAGAGCTAGCATTACTCTCTTCAGGAAGAAGAGTGGCTAATGAATCCCCTGCCAGTGGAGGAACACGCAGACCTAAGGACTAGGATTGCTTTCCTCCAGCCTCGAAAACAGTGAAAAACCTTTGTAATCCTGAATTTCACATGCAGAAGTATGTGCATCTCATGGCAAAACTCGATAAAGACAGGTGGATTTTGGGGATTGGGGTTTTTTTCTAGCTAGTAACAGCCCTTATTTCAGGTTTTCTCGTTTCTGTAACAGTGAGAGCCAGGGGAGAAAATCCCAGACATGATAATGTTGTCATTACGCTTCTCCTCTGCAGGGCCTCTGACCTGTTTCTGCTGGACACGCGGGCGGTGTGGGCCTCAGAAGAGGGCTGGCTGGAGTTTGATGTCACTGCCACCAGTAACATGTGGGTGATGAATCCTCAGCACAACATGGGACTGCAGCTGAGTGTGGTGACCCGGGACGGTAGGTTATGGGCCAGTTAATGCGAGTAATCTGGCAAGCCTCTTGGATGCTGTCTAGAAGTGGTGCCAACAGAGTCCAGTTGTGATGTGGGGAGTGAGCACCCTGCCTTTGTAGGCAGTTGTGGCCAACACTTTGAGTAAAGTGTCTGAGGGCACAGATTGAGGGCTATCAGCTTCTTGGCTGTCCCATCTGTCTTTCCCCATCAGTGAGGTCAGGTGTCTCTGAACAGTACCAGGATGAGGTGGTGGAGGCTGGCTGGGGTAGGGTCCCATTCCTGAATTGGAGGTAGAAGGGGGCATGGAGCTGGGATCCCAGGTGGGATGAGGTTTAGGGATGAGAGGAAGGGAAGAGGGCAGGTATATGGGTATGCACTGCCCCACGTGGGCTTATGGCAGCCCTGCTGGCTGCTGTGGCTGCCGTCTCTGCTTGGATCTCATCAAACCTGAGGTGAGAGCCCTGCGCTGGAGAAGCAATGTGGTTGCTGTGTGAGGCTGATCCCTCCAAGGGCGGCTGAAATGATGCCATTTCACAGCCCACAGAAACTTTGAAAGGTGGAAAAGCAGAGAAGAGACTCCAGAAGAGCATGAAATTGAGTGTTAGAAGATAAGCGGTGGAAAATGAGAGGATCTAGGTGAACAGAAGTTGACCAAAAAGATGACAGTGACATCTTTCCTCTATAGGAACCAGTCTCGAACCTTATGTTTTTTTCCTACCGCTTCATGCTGGGGTTTGGTACACCTGTGGGGTCAAGTGAGACTAGAGGGGCTGTCTGCTGTTCTCTGTGAGGAAATGTTAGTACCAGCCTCCCCCTCCCCAAATTGGCTGAGAGCCCATCCCTGTGCTCCTGACAAAAGCATCCCATCTCTTTGCCTTCTGCTTTCTGTAGAGGTCTCCTAATCCCATCTCTGCTTCTTGTGTTTCATGGGCAGCAGAACTAATTTCATGACACATCTGGGCTTTGTGTTTTATATGTATGTCTGTATACCTCTTCAATGCCTACACCAGAGTAGAGATGCCATAGGGATACCAAAGAGCCAGGTGCTGTGGTGGAGCCTCTTGTACAGGATGGATGGAGTGCTGTCGTAAAAATGTCCGTAGGTCATGGTGGCAGGAGGGGAGTGTTCAGTGATAAAAGAAGAAGAATGTGAGCAAGAAGAAAGGAGACACTGCTCGTGGGGATGCTGTGATTCTGGAAGGAGCAATCCAGCAGCATGATTTCTCTAACACTCACTTTTCTGTTTGATTTCAAGGTTTCAGCGTAAATCCTAGAGAAGCAGGCCTTATAGGCCGAGATGGCCCTTACGACAAACAGCCTTTCATGGTGGCCTTCTTCAAAGTGAGTGAAGTTCATGTTCGGACCACTAGGTCAGCAACGAGCAGGCGCAGGCAACAGAGTCGCAACCGTTCCACCCAGGCTCAGGATGTTTCCAGGGTGTCTAGTGTCACAGGTAATCATGCAAAACCCATTTTGTCTGGAAGCCGGGGTGACTTCTTGTAATGTTTCTGTTTGCTTTGGAGTGCAAAAGCAAGAAGGGGGATGTGAGGTGGGATGCTCTTCCTTGGGGGAACAGGTTACACCTGCAAGGGGATGGGAGAGGGAGTCTCACATAATGAGACTTACAGGAGTCCTTTTGAATCCAGGGTGGAGTCCAGACCCCTTTGTGAAGTCGCAGCCATTGAATTCAGGGGGGTGAGGTGTTTTAAGTCTGAATTTTGTGCTTGTAGGTTGCTTGCTACGCAGTATTTGCCTAGAATTATGCCACATGAATTGCAATATTTAAAAGACTCCATCTCTGCATACACTGAGATTTATGGCATCACACATATGAATTTCCAGCTGAGTCCTCTTTCGGTTTTCTTTGGAAAAACCCTAGTAGAACAGCACAAGATCCTTTTATTTTTTTCCCTTGTGAGAACAGCAGTGTGTACATGGTGAAGTGCATTTCTGGGCAGGCAAAGAGGCTTGCCTCTTTGCTGTGGAAAGGTTGCATGTTGCAAGCGTTGTACAGCAGCCTTTTGAGTGCTGTTGTGAGCTGGTGGGACAATAGGATAACTCTGAAATTTTGACGAAAATTGAGTGTTCTGTCTTCTAAGTCTTGTCTGTTTTCCAGCCACTCTGCCCTGCATCACAGTGCTACTAGTCCTTCGTTCATTGAGTACCTTCTTACCTCTCAAACATTTCAGCCAGTTCCGAGTTACTTGATTAATTTGCTTATGCTGCCCCCTTCATTTCCAATAGGATCCCTGCTTTTCTCGTGTCTAGAAATGACTATACCCCACGGAAGAGACGTGGCTGTACTTTTTAGTCTATGTCCAGATACAGCACGGGGAGATGAGCCAGTGTTGCCGAAACTTAGCCAGCATGAATGCAGAGGCTGTCCCCTGCTCTTGTATGCTTGGGTTGTGGGTGAGCCGCGCTGCACCCAAGGTAGCCCTGTGCTGGCCAGGGCGCTGGGAGCCTGCAGGGAGCCAGAGCCAGGTTGGGAGCCCCTCCAGGGCTGGGGGCCAGGCTTTGAGCATGGCCATGTGCCAATGCGGCCCTATTGCTCCAGCCCAGCATGGTGACGGACTTGCCCTTTGGGCTAGTGCGTGCCAGCAGCAGTTGACCACTAGTGGCCATTGCATGTTCTCGTGGTGCACACTGCGGCGTGGCTGTGCATTCCCATGCCATGCCGTGCAAGTGCTGGGCTCGCTTGGGTGTGAAATGTTGCTTCACGGATTTTAAGGGCAGGAGGATCCACTTGGTCCTGCAGCCTGACCTCCCCGAGGGAGGCCGGCCAGTGCCAGCGTGGCATTGCCAGAGGAGTTATCGTCTAATCTGGTGTGAGAGCCCCCTGCCAGCCCCAAAGGCAGAGCTGTCTGTTGGTCCCAAGTGCTGAGACCCGCTTTGCTCCTGGTTTTCCTTGGGGTTTCCAAGCTGCAGTTTTAAAGGCGGGCATCACAGCTGCTCGCTGGGTTACCTTCCCATGTGATGGGCTTGCCAAGGGCATAGGTAGTTTATTCATCTGGGTGTTACAGACAATAAGCCCAGCCATTACGCAGGCAGTGTGCAGTTCTCCCCCTCAGGTGGGCTCAGCTGCTGCTCTCCCTTCATCATGAGAGCCAATTTTTTAATGCATTCACAGCGCTTTGGGAAAGTTACTCGCTGCGTTGCTGTTTTGTGGCACTGGTAGCAGAGTCAGGATAGGCTCCAACTTTCTCTCCCTAGCTCCGCAAGCTTTACAGTGCTAAAAACAATTTTTCACTACTATTAAATCAGGCGATGTGACTCAAAGCTCCAGAGGGAGCAGATATATTGGGCAAAAAGGGCCATTTTTACATTACTGCCTTCTTGACTACACCACACATCAGGTCGTAAAATTATAAAATGACAAAAAGGGAAAAAATAGCTGGTCATTCTGTGGTCTCAAGGGCTTTTTTGAGCTCTTGTAGCTGAAAGCCAGCTTTAATTTAGAACCTGGAATTTGGCAGTTCAGTAGTCAACAAGATATAGTTGAGCCTCTGTGGATTTAAGGCGGGGGAAAGGAGGGGAATTTAAAGTTAAGATGTATATTTGGTTGGTTTCTGTGTTTAGAAAAGAGAGACTGCATCAGCTTATTTTCCTTCCTAAGTGTGACACTCTTAGACTCTGTTCTCCTTAAGAAGTGGTTGATTTAATAGCCCAAGAGGCACCGATGACCGATATGCGTTTTTAGCGTTAAAGAGATCACAGGGATTTTTTTCTTTTTCAGTTGTGTGGTTTCCTACATCTGTGCCCTGATGCAGCATAATGGGGCTGGGGAAGCATTTGCCCCAGGATGAAGCAGGATGTGAGCCTGGGGGTTACCCTGAAGGCTGCCTTGCTCTTCTGAGGGTACCCTGATGCACCTGGACCCAAAGTGGGTGCAGAACTGGGATACTGCAGTCCCCTTCTGTGCATCTCCCCACCCGCACATCTTCCTCTCTCGCTGTATCTTATGTCTTGTCAGATTTTTGTTCTGTACTCTTCCCTGAGCCAGGATTGCCACTGCCTATCAGGGCTTGAGGGCAGTTTCTCTCCTGGAGAGCAAGGCAGCTGGCTGGTGTTAATTTTTTTTGTAGATTGAACCTTCCTTCCTCTATGTTAGTGAATACACAGGGTTTTCTTTCTTCAGTCCAAAAATTAACCCTTTTCCCAAAAGATGCTGTGATTTCGGTCGGGGCAGTATGTTTTAAAAAGCCCCATTTACTATCTAAATATGGAAAGCATTTCAAGTCCTGCAGTTCGGAGCACGTGAAGTGTGCTGCTGGGCTGGTACTGGATCTGGTGAGCCATGGGGTTACGTGAAGGCATGCTGCTACGTGTGGGATTGGGACCCCGCTGTGCTCCCTTTGATGTGCACTTGTTGTCCTGCAGTCAGTACCAAGTGCTCAAATGCTAAGGTAATGGCTGTGGCATAAGAATCTCAATGGTCTGTATTTTTTCGCCAAGAATGCTCATTTCCCTCTGTTATAAACGCGTAATTATGACTGGCTTATATAAAGCAGAACTGAGTAACCCCCACGGTTATAAACTGCTTTGACATAGTGTCCTGCGTCAATGCATTCCTGGAGCCAAGCTCTGTTCTTCTGAAGAAGGAGGATGAACAGGAAGAAAAGGAAGTATTTTCGTCTGTTGAGGCAGAAAATCATACACCGGCTCTGGCCCAGGACATGGAGGAACAAGGTGGGTGGGAGGAACACGCAGGTGTTTTTCTGCTGTTGTCTGCAAGATCTGGAGGCCCTCGCTCAGCTGTGTCTTGCAGTGGGTTTAGCTCATGCTCTCAGACTCCATGCTGACCCTCTAGTTAACCTGAAGAGATGGGGACTCTCTTCAACGCAACAAACAGACAGTGACCCTCGAGCATAAGAGCTTTGCTGCCAATCAGCTCCTCTGTGAGTTACCTGAATGCTGGTTTCCATGCGGGGCTGTCATCTTCCCCAGTGGCAATAACCCTCCTCTTCTGCAAGTCAGTCTTCAGGCACATCTCTTCCCATCAGCCCCTCCTTATGGAGAGAGTCACATTTAAATGTCTGACTTTGGGCTGCACTTGGTTCTGAGTGAAACTCATGCAACACCCCTTTTCAGGTCCTTGTCTTTAGCCATCCCGAGGCCTCCGGGACTGTTGTGAGGTGCTCCATGAGAAATGGAGGGGCCCTCTAAGTGGCCTTTCCTTCTGGCGGACATGCAAGGCACTGGGCAGATTTCCCCACATGTACAGGAACTAAATACCACAAAGGGCAGCACGCACAAACACTGGAGGCAAACAAGGCTAAATGCTTTCGTGGTGGCAAGGGTCTTGTTAATAAACATCGTTATCTCACAGCCAATCTTCCCTTTAGTAGAGCGCTCGGATGCAGACTGGAGTGGCGTGGCTGGTGTTTCTGTATGTGCCTTCACATGCGGGTCCACGTCAGCCCAACATCTCCCCTTCTTCCCACCCAAGCGGATCGCTTTCATGTGAAGTGGGCTGTTACTAACTGCGTGATCAGTTTACACCAGCCTTATCCAGACAAATCACCAAAGTCAAACACCAAAAAGAAGGGGCTGGCCTTGGAGACCTCTGTCAAAGCTATTTTGGACCACAGAAGCAATTAATTACTGTGTGGAATTTGGTAAGCTGGCACCTTGGGAGCAGCAAGGGTGTTCTCAGATGGATTGACCTCAGTAAATATTTATATATTCTTTGCCAGCACTTAACATGGGAGAGGTTATAGGAAATCTAAGGTGGGTGCATGCGTATCTGTAGGAGGAAGACCATTAGAGTCAGGCCATTCTCTCTTCCTTTTCAGCAACACAAATGCCAGTGTCCAGCCTTAAGAGAAACATCTGTGCTTGCAGAAAGTCAGACTTGGGTTCTGGTGAAGGCAGACAACGTTCAGTGCAAGCAAGCCGCAGAGACAAGCCGTCTTAACTGTGCTGTTTCAACTGTGCTGCTCTGGAGTTATTTTTAAGTGCAGAACTAGGGGTTTGGGTTTTTTTTAAATCTCTGTTGTAGACAAAATAGTTTGCAGTGTGATTAAATGCAGTGCCTTGTAAATGCCAAGCTAGTGTTTCTGAATTGGTACATTCAGGGGAAAAAAAAGAGATGATTTTGCTAAACCCACAATGAGCCTATAGGAGCTCCCAAAGCAGCTCCCTAAACTCGCAGAGATTTTGAAGGTCTCTGGCAAGCAATCCTTGCAAATTGCGTGGTGGCAGCATAAGCCATCCCCACGGTGGTTGGTTGCAGCATCTCCCCGTTGCAGGCTGCCTCCTCTTGGCCCTCCTGGCTCCCCGCTGCAGGGCTGCCGGGGAGGGACACGTACCCTGTTGCCTCCTGGATGTTGGGTATTGCACTGCGAATTGCACTGCAATTCGCAAACAGCAGTTTGGGCTAAAACAGTTGAGCACGCCTGACTGGGGTAGCTGATACTGCTTTCCAGGCTTTGGAGAAAATGTGTTGTGGAGGCCAACTTCAGTAGCTCAGCGAGCTTTACTCACCGCCAAAAACCCTTTCCTGTGTGGATTCCTCTTTTTTCAGGCCCATGATTGGATGTACGTGGCTCTAGGGCATATGCCGAGCCTCAAACCGTAGAGAATGGATCGTTACTATGTGCATCTGTATTGCTGCATGTTTTGCCCCCGTTCAGAAAGCTGCTGCTAAGGGTTGATTGAAGGTTTGTAACAACCCTAAAATTGGGCTAAAGTAGATTCCATAAGTAGACACGGTGGGCAAACATGTAACAAGAAGAGAGGGCAGGGGAGCTTGGGGTGAGGGTTAAACAGGGGAGAGTGCAAATCCCAGGAGAGGGGATGTGTCATATGTTGACATTTAAGAAAGCAAAGGCTGAGTTTGGGCAAGTGAGGAGGCAGAGCTGTCTGCGCCTACCTTGGATGGAGAGTAGCCGGTGCTCGATGCACTGTGAATCAGGTGACTCGATTGCCAACCAGTGAACCTGGGTGCGTTTTGGGGGGCCAATTTCAGGCAGCGAGAGAGAATGTTCGTAACATGTTCTGCTTCATGTAGCTTGTTAAGCAGCTCTTTTTTTCCTTTGTTTTCTTAAACTTGTGATTGCTCACAGCCTTTCTTCCCACTCCTCTTTTCTCTGCCTCCCTTGCCTTCTCCACTTTCCCATAGCTGATCTGGGTAAGTTGTAGCTGAGTTTGGAACATAGCGTGTTTCTGCCTACTCGGTTGTGAATAGATCAATTCCACTGTAACTCTCTGTCAAATACAGATGGTTTTCCCCTAAGCAAACAACATATTCCCCATTGAAGAACAATGAAGTCATGTTTTCAGGTACTTAAATGAAAGCATTTGACCACTAAAAGTATCTTCTGCTCATTTTTTTCCCTTGTTATGACCATTTAGAAACATCGCATGCTAGAAATGTGCTCCTGGGCTGAGCCAGGGACTGAAAAGCTTCATCTGAAAAAAACCGCCACACCCTGGTTTCTACTGGGTATGTCTGGTTTGAAAATGGAAGCTTGGATAGAGAGGCTCGCCTCCGTCCTTGCTACCGAGTGCTCCTGAAAGAGTGAATGTTTATGCTGCAGCAGGCTGTTAACCAGCTTTGCTCACCTGATTAAATCCATGATTGAAGCGAAGCTATTGAAAGTCTGAAATGCAATCCTTAAAGTTTAAAACCCAAACTGCTTCTAAAAACAACTCTCTAATCTTTGGTGGTTTGGAGGCTAGGTTTGAGGTGGAGGGTTTTTTCAGACCTCGGTGTTAACTGTACCCAGCTGTAATGCTGTGCTGCCCTTAATGTCGGTTGGATGTGCTTTTAGTATTATAGTTTTTCTTTTGAATAAATATTTGCATTTGTAGTTCCCAAACTTTGGGGGGGGTGGTGGAGGGAAGAAAAAGAAAGGCTTATTCAGAGCCAAGGAAAAAGTCACTAAAAATATTTTTCTATCCCAGCTGCCACATTTGGGGAAAGCTACGCTGGGAGGGTGCCCTTTCAAGCCGCGTTAGGGGCGCCGGGGGGCTGGTTAGCCGAAAGGCCCAGGGCAGCGGGAGGCAGGCGCATCAGCGTGTGGCATCTGTCTGCTGACGGAAGCGCCTTTACTTGCAAATGAGGCGTGTGAGAGGAGAGGAGGCCCCTGTGGGTAAGGCGCCGGAGGAAAACACGGCCAGCCTGGGTCCAGCTCTGGGACGAGCGCACACGTGTCACTGCAAGGACGGGGACCTGGGCTCCCATGCCGCTTGGCCGAATTTGCCGCCATCTCTTCCTCTCGTGCTTTCCATCGGGCGTGAAGTGCCGGTTCGGCAGCCATAGGCGGGGGCCGAGGCCGCCCGCTGCGC